GTAATTGGTGTCAGCTGCTTTAAATATATTAAATACTCACATGTTGCCTTTTCTTTCCATATGCTATCCCTTGCCCATAAATTGCACTGATGAGCTCTGGCTGTTCCTATGCACCGCAAAGTAAAGTAGACTTTAGACAACTGTGAGGCATATATTTTAGCACTGAATTCTGTAATTAAGAAGTTTAACACAATCTAGGAAAAAAGCCCCATGAAATCTCCACTTACAGGTTGATGCATTTGGGTCCAGAAGTACTTGCAGCTTTTGCTCATGCTGTTACAATTAGCTTTAATTTTAAGGGCTTTCACAACAACTTATTTTCATAACTTTCCTGTGTTATTAATATAATAACATATAACAAGACAGTAATAAATTATTGTAGATACAACTTTTAGTGATTTAAATGACCTTGTATTTCTTCTAAAAAACTCTGGTTACTGGACAGATTACAGGTAATTCTCACTTAATGAATGTCCTGTTTAATGACCATTCAGTTACAACAGTGCTATAAAGGTAACTTTGCAATAGGTCTTCATAGTTACAAGTGTCACAGTGTCCTCACAATCATGTGATCAAGATTTGGGCACTTTACAACTGTCACAATGCCCCAGGATCACTTGATTGCCATTTACGAGCTTCACAGCTAGCTTCCAGCAAGCAAAGTCAATGGAGAAGCCAGCAGTAAAACTGCAAGTCACACATGGTGTCTCACTTAACAACCATGGGTGATCTGCTTAACCAGTCAAGTGGAAATGAGGTTGTAGGTCCATCATGATCACATGATGTCTCATTTAATAACATTGCTTAGCAACAGAGTTGTTGTCTCAATTGTGGGCATTAAGCAAAGACTACCTGTAGTCTCAAGTATTGTGCAATCAGCTGATCAAAGCTGTTTCACAGCTGATGAGGATTGTGATTTTCACTCCAGCAGTGACATTATATGTATGGGTGTGTATATACCAAGCCATAATTTACCACTGCATGCCACCCTTGATACTCTAAATCAGGGGTGTCAAACTGCCAGCCCATGGGCCGGACACATCACAACGAAACTGCGTCCATCCCATTGCCGGCAATGGGGAAAAAGCTCCAATACACGAGTTTGACATCTCTGCTCTAAATGGTTCTGTACTCCTAATGTCAAAAGCAACTATACATTCATGTATGACATTTTCCATGACACCTATTTAAACAAAAAGACTTTCGTTCATTCTCTCCTAAATTTGAAATGCCTTGTAACTCCAAATAAATCTTCAAACTCTACTGCGGAGGATTAGGTATAAATGGATACATCAACTCCACAAGTGAAAATTGTTTTCATTAGAAAGATGTCACTGGATTTCACCCATAAGAAAGATTTCCTATAATTTTCTTTGAGCCACTTTTTCTCCGCCTGAATACAAGCAGTTCTAGTACATGATGTCTTTTGCCCAAATATGAGAATGTATTACAATTTAAAATGCTAATTCAATCCTAAAAGCCTCTGTTTTGCATATTAAGTTTATATTACCCCCTGTCACTCTTCCCCAAGGAAGGGGTGTTTGGGGAAACTCTTCTTTTTACTAAAGATTAATAAAAACATGAAAAAGAAAAGTTACCTGAAGCATCGTTGAAAAATGTTGTATAGCTTCCTCATAAAAGCCATTGCCAATCAATACATAAGCGATAGCTGTCAAAATAATAGCTTAGTTTATTAAATCAAGCTTCTGTAAATTATACATTTGTCATATATAAGGATTGCTGAAAATCCCACAAGGAACTGAACTGTAAATCCTCAAAACCAGATATTGAGATGACCCAATTTCATGATCAAAAACTACTGTACAAGAGTCAATAAATATACTAATCAAAGTAATAGTTAGCTAAATGCTATCTTGTAAGTAAAATATCAATGTGTTGCTTGCGTAAGGTTTGCTACCAATTAATGAACCACACGGGATAATGATCTGCCTCATCTTCCTATAAAAGAAATTCTTGTTCATAAAATGGAGAAAGAGAAAAAAAGTAATTTTCACTCTTCTTTTAGTCTATTGCTCTTTGCAATCTCCATAAATCTGCTTCAAAAGGTTGGGCACCCTCTCAAACAACATAAAGGGGATATAGACAGATAATATTTATATGAATCAAATCAAATCAAATCACTTTATTATGGTTTTCTGCCTTTACAGTAGGAAAAGAGAAACAGCAATTCATTATCAAGGAGAAAAGAAAACAATAAGAAAATAACAGAATATATCTAATTAAAATGTTTGTGTAATTCTATAACTTGATGAAGATATTTGGCCACCTGGTATGTGAGCGTAGTATTAGCAACCTTTAAAAAGTAAAAAAACCCCTATAACGTTTATCAGTATGACCCTCAATTTTATAAATAATTAGGGAGATCAAAGCATATTTTGGGCCATTATAAAAAGGACACTGTACAAGGATACGGGATATGTCCCTGGATCCTAAGAACAAAGTCTCTATATACAATATAAGGTGTTCCATGAAATATTCCTGCAACAGTGGTGAAGGGAGGGGATCAAGCTAGGTTTTGAAAAGGGCCCATCTATATTTGCTTAGGGTAAGATCATAGAGATAACCTGAAGAAGAGTGATGTGGCTACCTAGCATTTGGGAATAGAATTCAGGTGCCCTGGTGATATTATTTTGCAATCACTGTACCTAATTCTTACTTTTATTATTGATTTGGAAATTTCAAGAGTTAATTGGCCTAAATATTCAGGGGAGAGGCCAAAACTGCAAACTTCTTCCACACAGGTATGGTGCCAATGAGATTGGTAGCTATCTGATAACACCAGAATCAAATAAGATTCTGAACCCTGAGATTAGAATCCTGGTCCAGGCCTGAGCCTTAATGCTTGGCATCTTGGTTTCAAGTCTCAAACACTGCATTAGGGGTACATGTTGGAGTACTGAAAAAGTTGTAAGGAAATTTGACTGGTTTCATAAGCCCTTAGATTTATAGATATGTCAAGTTGTATCCTATACAATAGTTTGGCAACTATTTTAGCCATAAACAGTTTGATTGATACTAAAATGCAATTTACCTCCTATTGCCTATAAAATTTTGTTATTGCAGCTGCAATATTTTGATCTGTAGAACTGGCACAATTTACTTATTAATTTCCTACAGCCTCATATTTAAAACACCCGACTTGCTCTAATTCATGAGAATTGATTGTCCACTTATGCCTCTCTCCTTTGTTGGAAAAAAACCTAAAACCATAGATTTTTCATAGTTAACTAATTGTTCTTCATTACAGTAAGATGCCAGGGTTCTTAATATCTGCTTCATGCCTACAGACGACAATGAGAGAACTGTATCCTCA